GCCTTCTCCCAAAGGGAGATAATTAGGAAATAGTGAAAAATTAATGGCATTTTTATAAAAAAATCTTTTCAAGAACCACTAGGCCAGGCAAGATGAAACTCAGGTGGAATCATCTTCATGTAATGTAGATTCAAGTTTGTTCAGGTCATGACCCCCCAACGGATAGGGTTGGGCCACAATGGGCCATCAAAATTTTACATTGGAATTTATAGGAAAAATCTTTTAAAATAAAGTACTTCAAAGCCATGATTAGTGATTTTTATATGAAATCATCCTCCAGTAGTGTAAATTTTAGTTTGTTCAAATCATTACCCCCAGGGATAGGGTGGGGCCAATATGGCCAATCAAAATTATACATAAGAATATAGGCCGTATAGGATTTTTTTTTAAATCTTCTTCTCAAAAACCACTGGGCCAGGTAAGATGAAACTCATTTGGAATCATCCTCAGGTAGTATAAATTCTAGTTTGTTCAAATCATGACCCCTGGGGCAAGGGTGGGGCCAAAATGGCCGACCCTAGTTTTACATAGGAATATATATGAAATATCTTTTAAAATCTTCTTCTCAAGTACTTCAAGGACATGACTATTGATATTCATATGGAATCATCCTCCAGTAGTGTAGATTTTAGTTTGTTTAAATCATAACACCTAGGATGGGACCACAATGGAGGATTCAAGGTTTACATTAAAATATATTTAAAAAAAAAACAATAATAATAGCACAGCCATGAGTAGTAATACTAGTATTTATTTGGAAGCATTTTCAGGTAGTGTAGACTAAAGTTTGTTCAAATCATAAGCCCCAAGGGTAGAGTTGGGCCACAGTGGTGGATCAAAGATTTACATAGAACAAAAGGCCCATGGGCCCCATAGGTCACCCGAGCATTATGCAACAACTTTCCAATTACTGAATTTGATTCATGTTTTAAGCCAGATGCTATGGCATGTGTAATTTTGAAAGGGGGCACCATTTATCATCATAACTATACACCTAACAATTGCATATGTGGTTTCTTAATACCCATAGGCAGGGTAGAAACAAAAAATGCATTTCAACTAATCAGTAATATTTATCAATAATCAGCAGCGTCCCTACGGAACATGAATCCCTGACCCCTAGGCTAGATGCACACATTGCACAGTTTTTGTAAAGGCATCCTTGCTTTTTCAAAAGTATTTGATTATTCCATTGAAGGAGCATTTAAGGTCATTTTCAGTATATAAGTAACCCCCTCTTTATTGTACCCCTGGTCCTGTGACCTTGAAATTCACAATTCTTGAAGATTAAGGCCCCTGCTCATCATAACTATATAGGTAATTCAGTTGCTTAATACCCAGTAGCAGAGAAGAAGATTTTCAAAGAATGTGTGTATTTTCACTTTACAATCAACCCTTATCCTGCTAATCGCGACTCTGAGTCGCGCTGGCTTATCAGATCTGCTGCTGCGGATCGCGACCTCAGGTCGTTTTTAGGGTTTCCTCATCTAATGCTTGTTTATCTGCTATTTTTAGCAGAGCATCTCATGTCAATGAATGAAACAAGTATAAATATAAACCAATGGTTTAGAATTTGTAAAAATATACACCAATCAGAAAGATTCATGTATATAATCACCATCCAAAATAGATGGAACTCCAGAACAAAGAAATGTTCCAAAATGGCTGACCTAAATATGCATGCTTTTAGTCTCCGGAGCATTGTAAGAAAGGACGTAAGTTTATACACTAAAAGGAATGTATTTGAGCTACTATCTAAAGGTATAATAATGATATTTAATGTTTCATTATAATTAATATTTATAGCATTTAAATAGTTATTCGGACTTATTATCCATTATCCATACTGTTAAATATAAATCGACATAAATGCAATAAATTGTAGGAATATAGAAATAAAATATATATGCATAGAAAGCTCTTTCTTTTCCTTATATTTTACACACAACTTATGTGTTGATTGCATCAAAGATAAAGATGCTATAAGCTGATAAGAAAGGAAGTATGCATTCACTGGGATATCTGTTTACACTTAACTTTCGCCGCAGCAGTGGAACTGATAAGCCAAAACTTCGACCGCAGGATAAGGGTCAATAGAGCCCCCCCCCCCGCCTTTGCACCAGAACCCCTGATTCTGGGGCCATTAAATTCTCAATTTTGGTAGAAGCACTCTTGCTTATCATAACTATGTACTAAGTTAGTTTGTTTAATACCCAGGAGTAGAGAAGGAGATTTTCAAAGAAATTATGCATTTTCACTGTATACTTAATTAGCCCCGCCTTGACCCTAGGCCATGAATTTCACAATTTTGGTAAAGGATTACAATCATGCAGACAGTTTGACTGCTTGAAGTCTAGGAGGTAAGAAGAAGCTTTTTAAAGATTGAATTAATTTTAGTGGTTTTGGACCCACTCCTCAGGGGGCGGGGGGGGGGGGGGGGGGGCAGGGAGCGTGAAATTCAAAATTGATGTTTCCCTTTATCCATAGAAGCTTTGTGCCAAATTTGGTTGAAATTGGCTGAGTGGTTGAGTGGTTGCAGAGAAGCAGTTGAAAATGTTCAAATATGAATGACGGACGACGACGGACGAAAACGGATAGCAATAGGTCACCCGAGTTTGCTCAGGCGATCTGAAAATATAGGGAGAAATCCCAAGAACAGAAAAGCTATGTTAAGTCAATTTGACATGTAAGCATCCTCATGTATTGAGGATTTAAATTTGTTCCAAATCATGGCCAACTGGGGTAAGGAGGGAATAAAAATCAAATTTTACAAAGTTATATATACGGGAAAAAGTTTTTTAAAAATCTTCTTATCAAGAACAGCAAAGTCATACATGTATGCTGTATAAATATGAAGGCATTCTCAAGCAGTATTAAAATTTAAGCCCCCCATCCCCACCCCCCCCCCCTTTGTAAACTTTTCTGTTCTGATCTCATTCCAATTTGCCTAGGTGAGCAATGTGGCACCTATGCCTTTTTTTTTTTTACATTTACATACATACATACATACATACATACATAAAAGTACAATTGTACAGATTGAGCAACGTTTTTTGGACCTTTTATTTTCAAAATACATGCTACTTCAGATATCTTATGTTTTTTATAGTTTATAGTTTTATAGTTATATGAAGCTCCCAAAAAAAAGCAGAAAGATTTCTACGTTCAAATCCTATTGTGACGTCAGCTAACCCGCAATTTGCCTGTAATTGGGCCCTCGGCTCAGACGAGCTATGAAAATCGTATAAAGCCTTTCTGATAAACTGATCAATATACTTTGTATTGGTTTTTTGAGCACTATTTTTATTTACATCCTTGTGCAATATAAATAATACAGAAACAGTAATAAAGCTCATGTATTCAAAACAAAATAAAAGAAATTGATCAGAGGAAAACGGACTTCTAAGGAAATCAGAGTTAATTTGGATTAGATTCCTACTTTTAATAATACATTACCGATATTGTCGAGAGTGCGAAGTAAGGTTTGGTACATGTAGAGATTTAGAAGCTACCGGGGGTATTTTAAATTTCAAAGGATCTTTATTTTATTGCGTTTTCTTGTAGGCGACATATACGTGGGCTATTACGACGTGTGGAAGACAGGGATATCAGGTGAGAATTCATCTACAGATAAAAAAAAAATAATTTGCCTGTAAGTTAATTGATATTGTCATACAGACTATTACAAATACAACACGATATTAAGGAGAGTTTTGCCGCTTTTAATTCATTTGTTTACAATATAACGATATTGGACATAAGTTGGTACAATGTCTGAGTATAAAAAAACCCAATAAAACATGCTGACTACACACTTTAAAGTCTACAATAGCCGTCTAGTTTATTTTCAAACTAAAACAAAGTAATGACCCTACTTGGACCCGCCCTTTCCAACTTTCCACTCTCTGAATAGTAGGCAAAGTCACGTATTTGAATAAAAATCCTGCAAAATATTGCCGCTTCATCCCCCGAAATAGATTTTTTATGGAAGGTGATCGATAGTGTGTGTTGGGGAGGGGGGGGGGCATCGAAAAATAAAAGACTATGATTACATTTGCTGAAAATTAATGTTGACGCCACTGGGAAAAAAATTAGCATGTGCTCCATTAGGACAAACGGTTATATCCTGTATATTCATATGCTTACAATATGATCAAGGTTATAGACGCCGATAACTTATAAGTTCAATCGGATGCTTTAGATGACAAATAATCGAAACATAATTTCCACTGATGGATAAGCTGCACATTTTTTATTTCTTATTTTGAAATTATGTATGCATAATCGTTGAATCTGCTAACCGATATATCATAGCAGACTCCTAAAATAATTCCCGTGTTTAGAACTATAACAGTTGTTAAGCATGTTTAGTGTAGAATCAAATATTTAGGTTTATTTTTCTTCATGCGAATGTATTAAATATAGATGTATTTCATTTTTTTTTCCAAATGAAAAGCCAAAAGTGTAAATATTTCTATCGGTTAGACCGCAAACTTCGTACGGATTTATTTGATGAATTTGTGATAGCACGTACATATAGTACTATTTAGTGATTAAAGGAAATTCATTATTCTAGATTATTTAATTTATTCAAACAGTACTATATATTTGAAAATCCATTTAATTTCTAGATCAGTTTACTACACTGACTGATGACGAGGTGTCCGTGTTATTCTGTTTTCTGTGTTCTGACTCCGGTCCTCCTGACTTCTATGACACAGAGTGGCTCGACCTGCTTAATGAGATACTAGAGACCGTGTACCGTAAATATAATCCTGTAACACGTGAGGAAGCACAGCAGACTCTGGACAGACTGAAGTCACGTGATTACCTCTGGGAAGATCAGGACAAGATAACGGAGGACACAGAGGATGAAACAGTGTATAGGGTAGCATCAATATACAGTTACATACCATTCTGTTACAGTAGTTATGACACAGCCAGTGTGTACCTGAGATCATACAATTACAACGAAAAGCCTGGAGAGAAGTCTGTCATTGGTCGTCTTTACAGTCATCCCCTACTGATACTCCGTCTGCAGATGAACATACTGACTCATGTCACCATGGAGGACACGGAGATATATGATAAGATACAGCAGATATGTAAGTAAATGTAAAAAAATGGTAGTTATTTTGCGATGTTTAAATTAAATGATCGAATTTATTGTTATTTAAATTAGACAGAATCATCATAAATATTAATATTTTGCTATGTTAGATATTAAAGCCGCTTAATCCGAAAAAGGCACATATTATCTTACAAAATAAAAGTACGTCATTACTTAGATAATATACAAACATAAATTGTGAGATTGGTTTTATAGTTTATTAAATCAATTCTCATGTGGAAAACATAGATCAAAAACCTTGTTGATAAATAGAAGTTCCTGACAGGAAGTTAAGATCTGTTGTGAAGTCACCTTTGTAAAAAATAAATTTATCGGTTTTATCTAATTATGAAGATAATTCAAACCCGAGTTTATTCTTGTCCATTAGTAGAAGCCTAAGTCATTGAATATAATCCAAAGTAATTTTTAAATTAATGATTAGTTAAATAGTAAAGGAAAATAAGATATTTACTTTAGAGGAAATTTAGTAACGAAGGCTTAAATATTGACCATGTACAAGTACTTTGTTGTTAAAAAATGCTCGGGTTCGATCTTCATGAGATATACATGTAAGCAATAAATTTAATTTTTGAAGGTGATTTCACGCGATATAAACATAGGAATATTTATTGTGTGACCTAACAAAAATTATTTGTTTAACTTTTGAATTTTGATATCTTTTGAAAGATAAAGACGTCGGAGGTATAATTTGACAAAAAGTGAAACAATTTATGGACAATTATTTTTCAAGAATAAAAAAGAATATATATTTTTAGCGATTAGAATCGGACCAAGCGGCTTTAATGTCAGGTACATTCATAAAGAGTTGATATTTGTTTCATTCATGTAACGGAAAATCAAATATTAGTAATCAAGTGGTTCTTTATTCGTTTTTGTTTCAAATCATATTTTATAAAAGTATGTTTACAATATTAATATACATTATTCATTTTCTTTGACAGTAAATATCCCAGACAATATACTGAACAAGGATGAGGATAAAAGGAAACAATTTCTACAGGAACTAAGAAGAGAAGGGGAGGCTGTACATTACAGAGGGAGATCACAGGACAGTGTAGATCACGTGGCGTGGCTCTGGAGATACAGGTATGGAGCGAGACCTGACGTCGTGAGATCTTGTATAGGCCTTCATCCTCACGGGGACATTTACATCATCGACAACAAACCTCACAGAAAACCAAGTAAGAAGAAAGGTTCAATGATGTTTTATTTTTATTTACAAACATGCAAAAATAAGACTAAACCTTTAACAATTTTAAACGTATTGGAAATCTTTTATAGACTCTCCCATTCACCCGAATACATGAAAGTACAAGACACCAAGCAAACGGACGGACATCCCGATCATTACATGTATATAATCTCCCGCCTCTCAAGAAGGGGGAAGGGGGGGGGTAACTATAGCTAGATAGTCCCAGTCTGGTGAACACTTATTGTTCAAAATTGGTACGGGTAAAATTAAAATATGCTAGAACATAAACATTATATAACCATGTTATCAATAAGAAATTATCTCAATAAAATAATTTTAAAATATATTATTCCCATTGTTTCAGTCTTTTCTAACAGAACAACAGATTGCTCATTTGAAAATAAAAGCGTGTTGTTTTGTTGCTACGCGTTTCTTGTACTCAAAATGCAATGTTTATAAGTATTCCGTTTGGATATACGTTTTCAACAATTTATAAAGCAAGTTTGAGTATCATAATACCATAGATTTCATAGACGTTGCGCACGGTGTTGGTACACACTGACGTTACGTCAAAATAATGTTAGAATTATAACGTTTTTATAACGTTTTGAACCTTATACTTCAATGTTTTGGATCTTTAAATGAATTTTATTTTTCAAAAGTATAAAAAAAATAAAAGGGCACATAATGTTCAATGTTTGAACCTTCTTTTTTGAAATATTTAGATGTTTACTAATAAATCTTAATAATATAATTTTATTTACTGAAATGCCAAAGGCAATCAATGAATATTTCTCTTTCTATTTTCTCACTTGTCTGTCTTATAAGGAGAAAATATGATAGTATTCCCTTTCAACCTCCTTCAACTTTTATCAGTTAGGTCATTACAATTTTTATATTTCTATAAAGCGTCTGCATGCGTTTTGGGTGTACAGAGAAACAAATGAGTTATTTTTTATATTCCTACGTTTCAATGGAACTGGTGCCATTTTGAATAAAAAAAAATAAGTATCAATTAAGTATATTGAGGGGATGATAAATAAGAGGGATGGAGAGGTTTCACCATTATTGAAAATCTGTTTGATCACAAAAAATTCTAAAATGTTTTTACTATTTTTGGTGAAAGAAGGGGGGTGGGCTTTTAATGCATTCTTTGTTTAGTAGGGTATTCTTGTGGAACGATATCATTTTGGGGTTTTCATAATTTTTTTCCTTTGGTACATGTACACATGATGAAATATCTTAAGTGATATAAATATATTTTGTGAAAAAAGAAGACAAAATCTCCAACAAGCTCCGTGGTTGAATATCGGGGCTGGTTCATGCATGTCCACAAGTACCTGTGAGCTGGTACTACGGACCTGCATGAAAAAAGCCATTTGAAGCGATAATAATTTGACACCCCCGACGTCATATGTAGGCATTGCGTAAAATGACATTTTTTTGTACCTGTGACAAAATGGCTACTCTTTTATTGATGCTTGCATTTATTTCATATAGACCATTATTATAAAGATTGTGTAATTAGTAAATGCAGCAGTAAATGTTCTTTCAAGCTACATACATGATTGCTTTATATCTTACATTAATTTATATAAGTTTGATTATTACTGAAACATATTTAGCAACAATACTGTGACTCGTGCATGCGTTACAAAAAGGCTACACTTAAGAGAGCCTTTGTAATGTTTACGTTGGAAAAGTAATATAAAATGTATCAATTCAATTAATCTAAGACATAATATGTACTAAAAGATTATTCATCAAAATTAATATTTGTCTGGAATTTATGTCTGGTACACATATCCATTTCGGCTAATGTCAGTGTAAGGAAACGATTTTTTTCAGTTAGACATTTTCCTTACGAACTGTAGATCAGTCTAAATTCATGAAATTGATAAACTGATGTAATCTGAAAGAATGCATATATTTTATTGTACGCCCTAAGTTTCATTTAATTCAGAGAACTGCAAGTGCATTTTTTTCATACCTTTTAGTTGCGCGAATAATAATTGATGTAACGTCGGACTCGGGAATTTCGCCATAAATGATCAATACTGAGTAACGCCTCATCATAGTTAAAATAATTTTAAATTATTTAAAAGAAAATTTTAAGAATTATTCATTACTTTTAAATTAGATAAAATAAATGATTATATTTTTAATTTAATGTAAATGTGACATCGGGAAACCGCTAATTTCTTTGCGACATAAAGGGTTATAGACATTTTAGAACCTAACCCGCTTTTTCATCCAATCAGCAGCTGCTAAATTTTCTAGTAAGGATTTCAATCCCTAATGGTACCAAATTCTGAACCCCTAAAGGCCCTTCGAATACACATTACTCTGATATTATATTAAAGCATTTCATAGTGTAAAAGGATTGCCCACGAGAAATTTTCAAAAATTCCATTAAGTAAGCAGTAGTTAATTAAAAAGATTGCATTGAAGTCTATGGGGAAAAAGCGTTTTTTCAAAATAACAATTCAAATAATTTGAATATCAAAAAATCATGTGGTGGAAAGATGCATTGAAATATTATAAATAGAATGATAATTGAAAAGATTTTTTTTTACCAGCTAAATTTTTTTTAATTGATTTTTTTATTATTTAACAAAGGGGAGATAACTTTTACCAAAATTCAAGGTCATGAATTAGGACACATCCCACTAAACATACTTATAGTAATAAATGGGAAGTATGTCTAAATAAACTGAGTATTTAATGCCTACATATCTGTTATGTCTTCAAATTTCAATGAATTTCTTCCTACTAGGGATTGAAGACCTAAAGTTGCTCACTTAATTGTTAAGATTTTATGTCTATGCAGTAACTCAACTCTGCTTGCTGACTAATTAGCCAATGAAAAAGCGCGATTAGGTTCTAAGTAAGTTAGATCATATAAAGTAAAATTTTAGTGGTTAAGAAGGGGGCTCGGTCGCTTCGCTCACTCCGCCCTTTCTTAACCACTAAAAATTTTACTTAATATGATCTAACTATTACATAGTACCAACATAGTGCGCAACGTCCATACCGGTAGGATTTTCCGCATAATTTTTTTGATAGAAATACTATAGATGTTGCATTAATAATTATTTTTTATTATGTCATTGGTATTAGAGAAAAAAATAAACAAAAAAACTTTTAAACATAGACAAGTACATGTATATCTTGGATACAGTGTATTTTGATTAATTTTCTTTGTGTTTTAGGTGAACATCGTAACAATCCAGAGGAAGTCGGGTGTCTACTGTATTCTCTACTGTTAACTGAGAAATATCAGCTGAATCTCAATGAACATAAACAATCTCACAGGATCATAAGGGACAAAATTAGAGACAGATATTTCCCTAATATTACCGATGACGGCTTGGTAGATTATTCTGAAGGATTCACAGAAACAGATAATGGTATGATAAGCTTTATATCAGACGACGTCCGACATGACGTCATGTACGCCTTTGTTACGGAGTGTCTGGTGGAGGACAGTGATCTGGAGTTTTTCCTGACCACGGCGTCACGTGACGTGATATCAGAATACTGCCGGTCCTGGAATTATAAGAGGAGTGAGGGAGAGAGATGTCTGTATATACCGGAGGAGCCGGAAAAGATGTACGACCTCTTCATAGACAAACTACAGCTAGACATCATCACACACTGTACCGTGTCTGACAGGAGGATTCATGGCAGAATCAGTAAACACTGTAAGTATTTCGGAAAATTTTCATCATGTCACAAAACTTAAATGAGTTCTTCTTAATATGGTCGATATGGTCTTAATACTCGTCGTTGTCTCTTAATCTGGGCGATGATCTGAAACATGTCTCTCATTCCCCTGTTAAAAGAATTTATACTTATGTCCCAAAGTATTTAGCTCACCTGAGCTGAAAGCTCAAGTGAGCTTTTCTGATGACATTTTGTTCGGCGTCCGTCTGTCTATCTGTCCGTCTGTCTGTAAACTTTTCAAATTTTCGACCTCTTTTCAAGAACCGCTGGGCCAATTTCAACCAAACTTGCCACAAAGTATCTTTTGGTAAAGGGGATTCAGGTTTGTTCAAATGAAGGGCCACGCCTTCATTCAAGGGGGGATAATTGGGAATTAAAGAAAATTTGGTGGCATATTTAAAAAATCTTCTTCTCAAGAACCACTGTGCCAGGAAAGATGAAACTTATGGGGACACATCCTCAGGTAGTGTAGATTCAAGTTTGTTCAAATCATGACCCCCGGGGATAGGGCGGGGCCAGAATGGCCGATCAAAATTTTACATAGAAATATATAGGTAAATTCTTTAAAAATCTTCTTCTCAAGAATGACAAAGCCATAATTCATTATATTTATATGGAAGCATGTTCAGGAAGTTAAGATTCAAGTTTATTCAAATCATGACCCCCGGTGGTAGGGCGGGGCCAAAATGGCCGACGAAAGTTTTACATAGAAATATATAGGAAAATTCTTTTAAAATCTTCTTCTGAAGAATGACAAAGCCATAATTCATCATATTTTTAAAGAAGCATGCTCAGGTAGTGTAGATTCAAGTTTGTTCAAATCATGACCCGCGGGGGTAGGGCGGGGCCAAAATGGCCGACCAATGTTTTACATAGAAATATATAGGAAAATTGTATAAAAATCTTCTTCACAAGAATGAAAAAGCCATAATTCATCATATTTTTATGGAAGCATGCTCAGGTAGTGTAGATTCAAGTTTGTTCAAATCATGACCCTCGGGGGTAGGGCGGGACCAAAATGGCCTACCAATGTTTTATATAGAAATATATAGGAAAATTGGTTAAAAATCTTCTTCACAAGAATGAAAAAGCCATAATTCATCATATTTATATGGAAGCATGCTCAGGTAGTGTAAATTCAAGTTTGTTCAAATCATGACCCTCGGGGGTAGGGCGGGACCAAAATGGCCGACCATAATTTTACATCGAAATATATAGGTAAATTCTTTAAAAATTTTCTCCTCAAGAATGACAAAGCCATAATTCATCATATTTATATGGAAGCATACTCAAGTATTGTAGATTCATTTTTTTTTCAAATCATGACCCCCAGGGGTAGGAAAGGGCCAAAATGGCCGACCAAAGTTTTTAAAGACATATATAGGAAAATTCTGAAACAATCATTTTCTAAAAAATAGCAAATCCATGATTGGTCATGGGACTACTCTTGGATTTAAACTTTACAATAAAAAGCCATTTTGTACTTTTTCCTACCCGTAGTGCTCAGGTGAGCGATGTGGCCCATGGGCCTCTTGTTCAACTTTGCTGCATAACCAAATATTTTGTTTTAATCTTAGCATGTCTTGCACATTAGATATAGAATAGAATATTTTTGCTATCACTACTGAAAGTCCTTGGAGTTGAAATCTCTATACAGGCGTGGATAAAAAAAATCAAAGGGGGAGGCAATTATTTTAAATACATACATAGTGAGGGGGCCAGAAATTTTGCAAGGGGGCAGTAGAAGTCAGGGGGTCTAAGGGCTAAACTAAAGCCCCCAGTGGATGTAGAATAATGCCCTGTTGGGGGCTGACACACTTTCTTACAAATAACAGATGTTTTTTCTTGATTTTAGGATAATTGACATATATATGTTTTACAGACAAAATATCAAAAAAGGGGAAGGGCACGCCAGGCATACAGACCCTGGATCAGTCTTTGATATGTGTTGTTTATCAACTCAATAGGATACAGGGTGGAGTGTAGTTTTTAAAGGTCGGAGGTTGATGAGAAAAAAAAAATACCCACTTAAATTACCTTAAAGTTTTGAAAAATAAGGGTAAATAATCTCATAACTCGAAAACTTCATTTTGTAAAGGAGGGGGTCATTCTGTTTTTACAGCCCATTTTTTTTTTATATTTTACAATATTAGCCTTTCACTGAGCATTTTCTTTATTAAAAATACTACACAAGTTTCAGACTTTTTTCTATCTCTTTTTTTCAAATCCAATTAAAGGGAGAATGAAACTCCCGTAAACCATCCCCCCAGCCACTGCTATGTAATCTGTATCTGCATTGTTAAAACGCACTTTGAATTTTTTTTTTTTCGAATACCATGCGGGGATAAAGAGAGGGGGTTGGGGTAAGAATTTACAAGGTTAAAATATGTACATGTATATATTGAAACAAATAAAAAAAACAATTACCATGGACCCTCCTTGGAAAACGCTGACCCCCCCCTCTCCTCCAAGGTAAGCACAGATATGTGTGAAATGGGTATGCAAAGATTTAAGGCAATAGAAGTCATAAATAGAACCCCCCCCCCCAATACACACACACACCCACAAAAAAGTTTTTGACGTTTGGCGATTTTTTTATTTGTTTCTTTGTTTATTTTATATTTTTTTTTTTGCTTGTCCCCCCCCCCCCTTGGAAATATTCCTGGAACCGCGCCTGAACATTATACCAACGAAGACGACAAACAACGGACTTTGGTCAGAAGGGCTCAGGTGAGATAACAATGAATATTAAAACATGTACTGATGTCACGATATATGTAACCTTTGGTAATTTTTTTTAAATAGTTGGCGTCCCTAGTGAAGTACTACAATGGGACCCGGAGGCCAGAGAGCGGTATGTGGAGTACGCTAAGAGAGGAACACAGACAGTCCACCACGCCCGGGGGATGATTGTAGGATGTGCTGGGGCGGGGAAAACAACACTACTTAAACGTCTGCTCCGATGCACTGAAGAAGAGATTAAGGAAGTAAAATCTACTGAGGGATTGGAGGTGCATGAGGAAATATTTGAATTATGTGATGAAGCAAAATCTCTAAAAGGTAAAGATGTCAAGGCTATTGATACTTGAAATATTACAAAGCTTTTTAATATTGAAAAAAATATATGATAAAATAAGACCTTTTTATTCTAATCAATATGAAACACGAGAAAAAACACTGAAAAAAGTGCGATCCGACGGTAAGTAAATGAATCAATCGATATTTACCATGATCATGCGCAAAGGATGAACTGACATAAGCATGCATATAAAGAAATGAAAAGTAAACTTTGACTTTTAAAAACCATTTAATTTCAAATTATTGTTTTTCAAAAAATACCTTTCCCTTACATTTTAAATTTTACGATAAAACTTCACAGGTAACTGTTCTAGGATCAAAGAAAAATAAAATAATACTTTGTAAATAAATGAAAAGTTCGTATTTCTAGTTTTCTAGTTTTTTTAAACAAAATATAAAAAGCCTAGAATAGTCTTTTAGTTTTTTTTTTCTGTTGGCATTGTTGTTAATATGCTTTGAATTTTAGTTACATTACATAACTAATTCTAGTAAGCATTTAAGCAATACTTATTGCTTCCCAGTTGTTGATATTTAAAGCAACTTTATCAGAGTTTTTAATTTTTAAAAAGCTTATAATTTTTAGAATAACAGGTGGTACGTGACAGAAAATTATAAGACATCTGAATATGCTTTCAGTAAGAACACGACATATGGATCTCAGAAATAATGAGGAAAATGAAACTGACTTTGAAAAGAAGACTCTGACTATGTTCGACTTTGGGGGCCAGTGTGCGTACTACGCCTGTCACCAGATTTACCTGACCAGGAGAGCTTTCTATGTTGTGGTGGTGGACGCCTCTAAACCTCTTGACCAGAAGGTGGATAAGGAAGTGTGTGATCAAGATGGTAGTATGTTCTCCGGATGGACCTATGGAGGTATAACTCTTGTAAACTGCACATCTTTCCTTACATTTGTTTCATATCAATTTCTCTAAAGAGATGTTTTTTGCAATAAATTCCTTAATTAACTCATGCGCGGATCTAGAGGGGACCCCCCCTTGAAAACACGGACGTTTGTTAAATGGGTATGGAGAGTAATAGTTATTTGCATCCCCCTATGAAATAGTTTTTTCTCGTTTGGGCAAGTTAAGATGATTTTTTTTGCTTGTCAACACGTTTCTGAGAGTTGGATTTTTTATTTGACGGGGTTTGACCCCCCCCCCCATTGAAAAAATTCTGGATCTGCGACTGTAACTAACATCTAAACACTCAGTTAATCCCTCTACAACCGGTGAAAAGAGATACATATACAATTTCAGGTGGAAAGAAACAGAAAAAAAGACAAAAAATGCGTACTCATGCTCGCAGATTAGGCTTGGACAATCTTAATGAAACTTTACAGAAATTATGAATACAAACTATTAATAGATGTACTTTCAACATACATTATGTTCCACATTCCTACCGTTGCCAAGGAAACGAGCTATAAGTGACCATCCATTTATGTTTATTTCTCTCGGTAAATATGAATTTTGAAAATTTATTTCTTCTACAGTTTCAAAGTGGTTTCCTGATAAAAAAAAATAATTCGAATGCAGCAGGTCTACAAATTTAGTCATCAGAACAAACTTGTATTCTGGTTAATCATAGTTTTGTACTCGAGTGTTTCATACATAGCTTACAAAATCTTTTGCTTCTAGACAGATATAACAAGATGTGTTTATGAAGAACAATGCATCCGTTGGCAAAAAAATCTAAAAAAAAAAAAATATTTTAGCATTAGGGTCACTGACAGTCGACGTCACAAGGCCATTGTCCTTGGTAACACTAACTTCTATGGAAGAATTTTATAGATGCAGTACAAATACTAAATATGAAGTGTCTATCTCTTATGGTTATAACATTATGGCAAAAGTTATTTCAAGTATGGTTAGTTGACAGAGTTCGGCGCGTTTTCTGACATATATCATCTGCATACAGACATGCAAATCAAAGACGCTGGTTGTTTGTTGCATTCAGATGATAAATAATTTCGAGATATGTTTACAAGTTTTTCCTGCTTTTGTTCAAGTTTATATTGTATATATTAAATAACTGTAAAAATAGGTACTCGTGCAACATTTTTCATCTTCCAAACTTGCATTTTCTTTTTAATTTTACATTTGTGATTCAAAACAAAGATTAATCACAAATATCATTATGACTGTTTTATCTTTTGTAGGTACATGTCTTGAAATGTTTTCAAATGTTTTATTATTGGAAATATGTACAAGTCTATAGCCAAATCAAAAATCCATCAAGTGTTACAAACGCATTGGGGTTACTGGGAATATATGGTTACAATATGATGAGGTATTTTTAATAAATATGGCAGAATGCAGCTATATATATATATAGTTAGTATGAAACAAGTCGTTCATAGATGATAATGTCGAGTTTTTAAAATTCATGTCAGGTTTAAGAATATATATGAAATATATGTTGATAAGGAACTGTATTCAATCTTAAAAGTCCATAAAACAATACAAAATAGGAGCATGCAGAGCACATACAGACCCCTGAAACATCAGTTTTTGGATCAAGTGCAATAGGGAAGTGAGCATCCCCTGAAGACCGGTCATTTTTGCTGTATTGTTTAAAATATACACACTGTATTACAACTGAAGTTAAAGTTCACAGTGAGGAAACAGAGAATTATTACTGCAAGTACTCAAAAAAGTGAAACCTAAAGTATACATTTTGGTTCCTTCCTAAACACAGAAGTGCCTTATATTAAAGACACAGTTTAACCTTGAGTAGAACACATTAGGCATATGGGAACAAATGCATTCTGTATTAGATTGCTTGAGAAATAAAACGAATGCAGCTTTTGTACATCTTATTACTAAGTAGTGGTGGTCTTACGACGCAGTACCACAACATGCAGAACTTCTACTTGTTAGCTTGCGGGGTCTTCAGTAATGGCTTTAAATCTGCCACTTGAATTTCTTGGATGGACATGGACATTGGAAGGGGGCACCTGGCAGTGTCGATGCAGTTGTGTACAGAAGAGAAAATGTCTTTGAGAAAACGGGAGGAGATCTCAACTAAGTAGCGGATAATGTCAAGGCATTGGAATCATACACATCAGCAAAACAAATGACATCTTCGGAGAAAAACAATAGGTACAGAGAGGAGAAAACCTGTGAAACTAATGTGATAAATCGATGTTGGAGGTGAATGAAAGTTATACATCAAATTCCTGTGTCGTCAAATATTAGAGCGAAGGCCGAGCATACCCAGAAGTCGTATCAGATTTAATGACAATGTTGATTTAGAGGTCAAAACCATGCATAGAGTAAGGGTAACCATTTTTTGGCTATGTTTTGGTATGCCAAAAAATATCATACCCCTACTAAAGTATCCATCTAGACCAGTTACCAAAAGACATGCTGAAGTTGTCTCTGGTATCCAGGAACTAATACAATTGTTGATTGTATGTTTGTTTTACGTCTTATTCGAGATTTATTTTACTAATGTAGAAACGTTTCAACACACTGGTGAAGAACTTCACATTTTGACATTTACTCAGCACTCAGCACTCAGGGTCTTTGAGCAGTGAGGATCTTTATCGTACTGGTACCAACGCCTGTCGTAACTAGGACCATTTGTTAAGGTCTCATCCGAAAAAAAAAACTCTTCTGGTGCTGAGCGTATGGCGAAGGAACGATTAATATCCATTTTATCGACTTATGTCAGTCGCTGCCAACATTCGAACTCACGGCCTCTCGATCATGGAGTAAGCGCTCCTCCGACTGAGCTAACGTGAACGGTAAATTTTAGATGGTTGTTATGATATTGAATTTTGTTAATTATGAAAGAGTTTTGAATTGAATTGAATACTATTTTACTTTTTTTTTGTTATGACACATATCTTTTTTTTTTTTGTTTATCCCTTATTCATAGGTCAAGATTTTAATATCCAAATGACAATTTGTCTTGGCCGCAGTGAGCAATGTTTTAGCCTCTATTTTTTCAAAGAAATTCCCTTCATACGCTGTGTACAAAAGTTAATACATCTTGTAAATATTAAAAATACATATGTATTCAGTAAAAAATTAAAGTATGCTTTTTCTGAAAAATGTGAAATTCCTTTCTTTGATGACGCACTGTTTTGCATTTGGTTAACGATATAGGTTTATTCTCTGCATACTTTAACTTATTAAAAATATATCATATTTGATAATCTGCAAATTTAATCAACTACCTTTCATATTCTAAAATTAAACAATATAATTAATTTGTGGTTGAAAGAGTTACAAGATCGATTATCTTTGTGTTATTGTCATAATATTTATTTTCACATAGATCTGATATTTTAAAAGAGAGTATTCACAAGATCGTGTGTGTTTACCAGTTGCCAGAATTGAAAATAAAGAAATATGGATACAAATATCAAGATAGCCAAAAAAAAAACAATTCACAAAAGAAATGGATTACTTTTTTAAAATTAGAATTACAATTTTTAAAGAGTGACCGGCTAATGCTCGACCTCAAACTGTGAGTGAATTGCTTATGAATTATATGCAAGAAGAACGAATCTTGTAGTCTCACAATGGTATAACTATTCCAATAAAATGTTGGAAATATTTTTAAGGAAAATATTTGCAATTTCATTTTCAGATTACTTCGTTTTCTGGTTGAAGTCTATACATACCTACTGTGGTTCTGACAGTGATAAAGATCAAAAGCCCACAGTTCTGATAGTAGCAACCCATTGGGACAAAAGAAACACTCAGTTTCATGTAAGAATATTTTATGCCAAAAAACATCATTTCCGAAGGAGAGGAAATATACTGTTTTACACTTGTGTGTCTGCCTGGCAATAAGTCTATATGTCCGTATGTTTGTCCATTACAAATTTTCATTATTTTTTCTCATCATCTACTCATCACACGTAATTGAAGTTCTACCATACTATTGAATTACATGTTGTATTAAGATTCATTTTTTATCACATCCGATGTTATCTTCCTCTTTATCAGTGCCTTTGTTCGTGCCGATTTCTAACTACTCGTCAAATGCTATTGAAATTTTAATATACTCATTGAAAAACATTCGATCTTTTGAAGTTCAAGTAGGGATTGCATGATTGACAACAATATTTTCTTTTATTTTTGATGTCCAGGAAAAAGGTAAAAATCTTGACATGATCTTGCCTCTGATATAAAACGGTCAAAGAACAAAGTGCGATATTGGCAAAAAATGCCGCTTTCATATCTGCTCCGTTTAAAACATTTTAAAAAGCCTTGGATTTTTGAAATTAAATGATATATAAGAAGAAGGTACAGTTTCAATACAAATTAAGCACGATAATTTTCTAAAATATGAAAGTAATATAAGAAATCAAAATTTATTCTTTCTTAATCCTAGGAATTCCAGTAAGAAAACACAAGTCGTGTGACCTCCTTCGTATTAATTGTGATGTCATTAACTTGTGCATTTTCCCGTATTTTCTTAAAAAGTTGCAGAAGACATCAATTTTCTTCAAGAAAACATACTCTGCCACCGTCGCCCGGAAAGATTTTGAGATGTGTGATTTTGCATAGCAGTTTACATAATATATCAAAAAATTAAAGTGGGCGACGGTGGCAGACACTATTTTCTAAAGGAAAATTCGCAAAGAAATGAGTCATTTTGAGGCTTTCCTGCATTTTAGGTATTCAATGTATAGCATTGAATTTTCCCAAAATTCATATTGATTGCAAGTGACAACCAACACCATTTTATCTGTATAAATTAAATATATACTTACATGCATGCGCAAGGGTGTAATTTAATGAAAGATAGCTTATTTCAAAAGATTTTCAACGAATTCTAGCTGACATTCCATGATTAGCGCGTATTTGTGACGTCATAATGAAAATTTGAGTTATTTTTGTACCTGTGGAATTTAGTTCGCATCTTACTTGCTTCAATGCTAAACAATAAAAGACAAAAAAAGTAAAGTTTAAAATATTGAAAATTTTGCGGCAGATAACTGCTAATACCGCACTTTGTTCTTTAATCTTTAATTTGATACCTTCACTTAGTGATAATAGAGAGGTTTAGCAAGTTCACTTGTACATGTAAATGTACGTGTAAACTACAAGATAGAATTACACGTTAACATTTTTTTTCTTGTTTAGCAAAGTATAATTTGTTCTTGTACATGTATTTTTTTGAATGTAAAAATGGTTTACATATAAAATTCATCCGAAAAGGCAATGATTTTAATACGTATATCACCAAAAAGGCGTTTTACATAAATATATGCATGTACTTATGAGAAAAAAAAATGGTACAGATTTCTTATATTTTTAATCGTTACCAAATTTCAAGATTATTAATTACGACACATCCCACTATACATGCTTATGGTAATAATTGGGAAGTATGTGTAAATAAACTGAGTATTCAATGCCTACATATCAGTTATGTATTCAATTTCATGGAATTTCATCCCATTAGGGACTGAATACCTTAAAGAATTATAAGCTACAAGTATTAACTTACGTGTACTTGGCAATCTACACGTAACCTACGTAAGAAGATACGTGTAGAAATTCGTCATTAACAAAAGTGATGACGTAATGCACAGATTTCTGGTGCTACACGTACACGTACGCGTACACGTTTGTTTGCTAAACCTCTCTAATGTCTTCTTGATTCTGTGAAAATATCATTGATTTTTAAATACAAGAATTGTAAGAGGAATCCTATCTTATGTAGCTCGTACATGTATATGTGGCAAAATAATGTTTCGGATTTTAAATACAATAGATAAAATACTTTTCACCATTAAGATGTTTAAAATTGAAAATTTGGTCTAATTTTAAATGGTTAATACAGGCATTTGAATGCCACTTAGTTATGCAATTGTGTTAACTGATTTAGTCTCCCTTCATGTTGAACACTTGTAAACATAAAGTTAAATGTCTTTAACATGACATTTTTGAAAGGCTTTTGAACTAAACAGGTCCATTAGCTCTTATAGGAGGCAGAGGAATATCAAAATAGCATAAATAGAAGTATGACATCTTGACAAAAAACGAAAACAGTCTATATACTATAGTGACTTTGTTTCCTTTTTAATTTAGGATAAAAACCGATTGATGGAGAGCCTGCGCTGTCAGATTCCAAAGTCATCTCACTTAGCACAGTACATCCGAGATGATAACATTTTTTGCGCTGAATTTAATTTACCTCTCCGTGATCTAGAAACTTGTCTTTTCAACATAGCTTCCCATCAACGATGGAACGAGAACATTCCAAAAGAATGGTCGTTTTTTGAAATAGAAATCAATCAGAAAAAAATCTTAATGAGAATCATGAATATCTGGGAAATAAAATCAACGGCTTCAGAGATAACTGATAGAGGACAGAGCGCTTCCAATGAAGATGAAAATGAAAAACTAGATATGCTGAGATATTATCATGACACTGGAAAAGCTCTATATTTCAAGGAAGATGGTCTGGACGATAAAATAATTATTAATGTGCAATGGTTTATTGACGCCTTCAAACACATCATCACAGACAGACTACATTTTAAAGGAATTCCTGGGACTCAGGAGAACTGGGAAGAATATTACAAAACTGGCAATTTGCGAGACCGACTCCTTCTGGAGATCTGGAAACACAAAGATGAAGAGTTGTGCGAAAAGCTAAAGAAAGAAGGAAAATTAACCGATACAAAAGTCAGAAGTGAAAAAGAATCATATGAGAAAGACAAACGATATCTTCAATGCCACAAGGTATCGCTCCTTATCTTTATGCAAAGACTTGGTTTGCTGGCTATTGGTACAGAATCTCACTATGTTCCGTGCATGAATCGTAAAGAAATTGAAAAAGAACTTTTAAATCTCATCGAGGAATCGGAAAGTAAATCATCTGTCCTTGTTTATGAATTTGATTTTCTGCCATTTTTCTTGTTTTTTCGCCTTGTTATTGCTTGTATGCAAGAAAACGGTTGGAAAGTCCTACGAAATCAAGGAACATCTTGCCTCTACAAAAATGCTGCTTTGTTTTCCTACATACAATACAACATTGTTTTATCCGTCACTGAAGAATCTATACAACTTCAAGTATTTTGCCCGATACAAGGACATTTTTTGGAAACAGAAAAAACATGCTTGATTCAAGGAAGAATAGAAGAGCTGTTAAATGCTTTAGCAGGAACATTTCATAGAGAGATACAGTATGTAAGAGGCTTTAGATGTCGAATGGACAAAGAAAAAATGATTGCCATCGATATAAAGGACCATTTTTTACCTCAAAAAGACATTCCAAACGAAGATCTTAAATTGATGTGTCCTTTGCATTCCGTTAATGATCGGCATATCATTGATACCACTGAACTTACTAGGTATTGGAAATTGTAGAGAAAGACATCCACCAATTTATAAATTATAATTATTTAAAAGAATTACAAAACTTATTGCCTAATAATTTAATTTCAGTTGTAACTCGGCATTTGATTGGTTTAACGGTTTTATCAATTTTGTATAACATAACTTGCCTACGTCACAATGAGTTACGTCAAAAACGAAGTACTTTGCTTGAGTTAACTTTTAAGATATGCCATATTTGAAACCTTTTTCCGAAGGAATAAAAGAAAGAATTGTATCATTGTCTACTTTGAAATTAAATTATAATGAATGATGCTAATTTCAACTTATGTTATACGAAATAACATAACTTGGGGCAGTTTATGCTGTTTTATAAACCGCGATATGGTTGAAAATTATACACCCTATACGTGTTTGAAAAATTCAAATGTTTTTTTTTTTTATTTTTCAAATGTTGTGTATGGTTTGAAAATTTTTTTTGAATTTGAATGCTTAATATTTTTTGTCACTCAACTGAGAATGAAAACATGCTTAGAATGCGCTTCTGTATTGTCGTTTGACAATTTGTGTAATTGATATATCATTAGCAAACAAATCTTCCATTACTTTTCACTAAGAATATGTACACATTTTTTTTTTATTTCTAAGTGATCTAGATTAGCGAAATATGTTCAACAGTGTATTCTTAAATTATTTAATGTGCTTACTTACTATTGTACAGACAGTATTTTCATTAAGGTCAAATTTATATATGTGTGCAATGTTTGAACACGGAACTGAAAACGTAATATGTAATAATAAATGAGCAATTTTTACAACTAGACTAGGAAAAACCTTAATCACAGTTTATGTTCACTGATGTTTTGGTTTTATTTTGTTATTTTGCCCTGTTTGATCAAACATGAAAGAATGCTGCATTTTAGAAATGTGACATAATAAGTAATAATAACATTTCTATTTTAAACTAAGAAAAAGTCCCTCAAGAAATAGATTCGAGAACCTTTGTTAATTTTTATTTTCAAATATTGTATTTAAATATAGCAGGGTAAAATTCATTGAAGACGTTTTTCTCCCAATCTTTGTCAATGATACATCTTGTCTGTTTTATTTGAAAGAAAATTTCACTACAAATTGGTGCCATTCAGCATTTTTTAAGAAGGTATGGTAAAATGTCTAGTTTTTGGTGTCACAAAAAAAAATGGTGATAGTTAAGGAGATGTGAAAAAACGATTTGCAATATCTAACTACATGGTTTTCAGTGTCTCAAACATTACGAATTTTACTTCGTACTAGATATATACTGAAAATGTGTTTGGTCGTCATGTTTTTGTTTTTCAATGTTCTATAGCTTAAGAATTAAAAATCCTCTGCTAACGCACATAAAACGTTTCTTTATTATTTTCCAAAAACAATATATATGCTATTTTTATTAAAAAAAAAATTATCGCATGGCTTGCAGAAAAATTGTGAAAAATAGGAATTTAACATGACAACTTTATAAAGGGATACATGTAAGAGACATTTATTTCATTATGAGTAATCTCTCTTATCAGAGTATCAATACACCTTGAGATTAAGATATAAAGATTTAACTAAAGTATCTCAAATTTTCTATAAAAATGAAACAGATAAATCTCTATGAAACTCCTCTTATCTCACCTGAGCTAAAGGCTTAAGTGAGATTTTCTGATCGAAATTTGTCCGTTGTCTGTCGTTGTTGTTGGCGTCGTCGTTGTCGTCGTCATAAACTTTTCACAATTTCATCTTCTTCTCAAGAACCACTTGGCCAATTTCAACTAAATTTTCCACAAAGTACCCTTGCGTAAAGGGGATTTAGGTTTGTTCCAAAGAAGGGTCACACTCTTTTCAAAGGGAAAATAATTACGAATTAGTGAAAAAATTACTGGCGTATTTTAAAAATCTTCTTAAGAACCACGGGGCCAGGAAAGATGAAACTCATATGGAAGTACCCATATGTAATGTAGATTCAATTTTCCTCAAACCATGACCCCAGGGGGTAGGTTGGGGCCACAGAGGGGTGTCTAATTTTAATGTAGGAATACATACCTTTGGTAATTTAAAAAAAATTCTTATGAAGAACCACTGGGCCAGGAAAGATGACACTCATGTAGAAGCATCTTCTGGTAGTGTTTAGTCAAGTTTGTTCAAATCATGACCCCCAGGAGAAGGGTGGGGCCACAATGGGGTATCAAATTTTAACATAGGAATAAATAGAATTTTTTTATCTTCATCTGAAGAACCTCTAGGCCAGGAAAGATGAAACTCATGTAGAAGTATTCTCTTGTAGAGCAAATTCAAGTTTCTTCAAATCATGACCCCCGGAGGTAGGTTGAGGCAACAATGGGGTATTAAATTTTAACATAGGAATACATAAGAAAATGTTTTAAAATCCTCTTCTCAAGAACAGCAAATCTATGATCAGGGAAATGGAGGAGCCATTACAGTGGATCATTACAAAGGAAAAAAAAGGCTATTTCTATAAAAAAAAAATCGATCTTACAAACAGCAAAGCCATTATGTGTCTCATTCATTCAAAGGCATCCTACGAAGGTGTAGATTTTAGTTTGTTTAAATACCCCAACCCCTCCTTCCACCAAATCAACATTTATATTAAACTTTTCAATACTGAACTGATTTTTGCCATTAGCTAGCCAGTTTTTTTCAGGTAAGCGATGTGCGAGCTGTAATGTGAGGATACAATGTTCATCAATACCGAAGATCTGTATATCAAAAATATTATTTTGTTTACTTTTATCATGTAAAAGAAAAGATATGTTTATGAGTGTGCAAAAAATAGAATTTTTTGTCTTCTCTATCTTTGATTTCACGGAGAGTAAAAATGTAAAGATACACATGGAGTTTTTAGAAGTTAAGGGACATAATTATACTGGTACACTGTATCATCTCAGTTAAACCTCAAATAATAATTTTTTGAACCTTGTAATGAAATTATTGCATATAGTGGCTTAATTGTATGTTGCACTCAAACGAAGTTGGACAGAACTTCAACTGGACACATATAATATGATTCGTTGAAGAGAAATCAATTTAGGAAGATAGTTCGTTCTCATTGAAAGCGACAAAATTAATTACTTTGTTGAACGTTATGGAGCAGCAGTTTGGATGCAATTTGGTATCGCAGTAAGAAAAAACCTGAATAAAAACTAAAACGTTAAAGGAATCAAATAAATATGTCACAAGTAAGTCGTTCATGTGTTTATAAAATGTGCAAGTGGTATTTTAATGACAGAGACTCTATTTCGTACGAGGACAATCTGTGTAGAAACGGTTTATCTGATAAAATCTGATCAAAAACTTTTAAAAATTTGGTACTTGTGAAAGCACAGCTACATGTAAGTGGTAAAAGAAATTAAAACATTGACAAAGGAAAGTATACAACGAGATTAATTGTGAACTGATAAAATAAATTTCAAGTGCTAAAAAAGGTATTTGATAAGTGATTATTGACCTTAACTGTTGAAATGTATAAGGATAGTATTTTAAAGATATTCTTGACGCTATGTTTTGAATGTTATGTATTGTCGTTAAGTATGCTCCGTGGGTACAAAACATATTGACTTTAAAATGTTATAAATCAATTTTCATTGAATCGAATGGAATGAAACTTCACACATCAATAAAACAAGTACTTTTACACATGATATTAAGATTAAATTAAAATTTCTTGAAAGTAATATAATGACGGTTGACATCGTCCACTAAATTCCACAACAACCTTCGTGCATAGCGTGTTCCTGTACATGTAAACAATCTTAAAACACACCACAAGAATATTTATTAGTAGTAAATGAGAGACATCAATAGTACGACAAGAGTTCAAAAAGATATTCGTGAAGTGGTGTAAATCAGATGTGGATACTTTACATTCTGAGAAACTTTTGGAACATTTGAAATCACAATGAGCAACATCAGAACTTACGACTTTGCACCTTTATTCACAACTGTTCCCTGCGACGATTCAAGTCCAGGCTTTCTGGCATCACTGAGAGATGCTTTTTCAAGAAAAATCGATCTCGAATTCACTTTCATTGGTTATTTGCAAAATTGTTCCGATGATACAAATACTTTGAAGTTGATATATAAAAGATACTTGAGTCTCTAATAGACAATACCAGGCAATTTCCAACAATTTACTGGAATTTCAATCGTCACCAATTGCACCCTGTTGTAAGCAGAGCTATTTTTGTATTCATATAAAGCAGAATTTTTTCAAATCTGAAAGGCAGAAAACGCTGGCCATGGCGTTCAACTCAGCAATTAGATTTATTGACGACGTATTATGAATTAAAAATGGTGATTTTCATTTATATTTTGACATGATATATCCTAGTTAACTTGAAATTAAAGATACTACAGAGTTTGATGAATCTGTTGCATATTTGGATCTTTTAATTAATAGAAAAAGACATTAATGCTTATATAACAACGATTCTTTATGATAAGGGTGATGTCTATTACCTTTTTAATCGTCAGCTCCCCTTACTTATGCAGCAATGTATATCTTTGACATCATAAAGTCATATGAAGTTTATATCTCTCAGTTGAATCGATACGGAAGAGAATGTTCTACTTTCAGACAATTTCTAAAGCGAGGTAAGTTATTGATTAACAAGTTGTCAAAGCAAGAATATCAACAGTCTCGTTTAAAGGCATCATTTCGATGATTGATTTTGTCAGCAAATACAATTCATCATTAAGTCACATGCTGAGCGACTTTTTTCATACTGATTGTTAGGCCATTATTTACACACTGAGTTGTTTAGGAATTTATGACAAGGAGCACGTTGGGGTGTGCCACAGGTCGCCAGGGAAAGCTTACTCCTCCATGGAACCCGATCCTACCTCTGATATTTTGGAAGTTTGTTCCCCTCCTAATTTGTAAAGTTTAATGGACTTTTGAGATTGGATACCATTCATTACCTCCAGATGTTTCTTAGGATAAACTGGGAAAATACCGAAGGGTGATCAAAAGGGACTTAAGACAAAAAAAAAATGCTTGACTCTGTAGTACTCGAGCAGCGAACGGCTTTAAAGTTGAACATATATCTTGGAAATTCAAACTTTTAAATTGTCAGTTATTTAACACGTGAACAATAACCAATTTTTTTGTGTAACTATTGATGTCATGAAGTAATGGGGCACCTTAATCCCTGCTTATAATATCTCATAACAAAGCACAAAGGCTATTTTGATTAGTACCATACGACAAAAACAAATGCATTACTTTTAGAAAAAAGTAGACATGATGTACATTTTGATCTGCTAATCATGGAATGCCAGCATGTCTTCTATTTTCTTTGGTACAATGGATTATCATAGTCAGTACAATTATTGTTTCATAAACACCTGACTGAGTCAGGAGATAGAGACGGGTAATTTTGAGCATTTCTCCAAAGAGTGCGCTGTTTTTAGTTGTAACATAATTAACCCAGAGTCATAGTGTGTTTTGATGAGAGTCTATGACTAACTAGCAAATATACTGTAAACAAACTTTTATTCGCGTGTGAAAAATTTTCGCAAAGTTCGCGAGAACCTCGTCATCGCGAATATTTCTCCCCGCGAACCGTTCCTTCAAATGTAAGTGTCTATCAACAGCAGATCCAAGAAGGCTTGATCGCGAAAAATAATCGTTGCGAACTATTATATCCCTGGTAAATCGCGAAATAAAGTCGCCGCAAATAAAATTTGGTTTACAGTATTTACATCCACTGGATATTATGTTCTTTATTTCTATGAAGACCATTGACATTAATTAGTGCATATTAAGCAAGCTGCCTACATCGATTTCTTGAACAGTGGCTGTTCAATAGGTTATGTATACAATGACATATTTTACTTTTATACAATATTTTTGACATATTTAATTTTACTTTGAATGTTTTTTCCTACAATTGTAACAATGAATGATAAAAAATGACTTTCTTTGATTGTTAGTACGCGGGTTATGTGTTTATTTTCTGCAACAGCTGAGACATTCGCAAGTGAGTTAAGGATACGTACGGATGTTTCTATAAAAAAAATCTTAATTAAAAACGCATAAGAGCTATACCTACATAATCCTGTACTAACAGCTAAAGAATATATTTTATCATTTAGCTAAAATTAACAAATTGAGTCCAAAATAACAATTGTTGTTGTAGCTGCAATGTAAAAAAAAATGTTTTGTGAAACGTTATACTCGTACAATCATGTTAGCCTAAAAAAAAAACTTATGATCTCCTATTGTCAACTTTCTATTATACAGTCTAAGATAAAATACTCTCAGCATCTAAGTGTGTCATGGCCTGAAGTGACCAGAGTATATTATAATGTTCTGATAAGAACTTAGGACTTACCTGAACACTCAAAAAATGAATTATAACTGGTTAATTACATTTGTCGTTGTTTGCTTTGCAAATGGTAAGTTAAAAGTCTATCTCTTACACCTTTACCTGCCTTTACAATTATGATAATGCATAGCTATCATAGTTAATCTCAATCTGTATTGCTGGGATTAAAAAGGGTACACCTAAAAGAATTTTGTATGGTTCTTATCAAAAATTAATTTATGTGCGGATCTATAGAATATAAAGGCAATGTTGACGATCAGAACTATAAATCCCGCTCTCGAGCTTTTATTTGTAAAATGCTGACTGGAGTTAATAAACGTGCCTAAAAAATTAACCAAACACGACCTTAGACCGCATGGTGTGGAAAGGAATTACCGCCAAAAGTCTATGTATCTTGTTTATATTCTTATTCTGCCTACTTCTTTCACAAAATTAACCTCTGTCATATTTTTCGACAGATGGGACGAGGGCTTTCACGGGTCATGTTTCAGATGTTATCATTATAGATTTTTCCAGCAGGTATTAATATTTTGTCCTCTTGACTTCGGCCATAGCGTTTGACCTTTTTCTTTTACAAAACCTTTAACATAAGTCATAATTTTTAAACAGTTAGCACTAGACTATAGGGCTTTCAAATTTTATAGTAATATTTCTTATGACATGAACTTCCTTTGGATACCAACAATGCTGAGCTTTGACCCTGACTTTGGATTTTGATTTTCTTTGAAAATATTTAATCTTCATACACTTGACGTCAGAGCTTTTTTTTATAAATTGTATGTTTACTTCTTAGTATAAGGTCTTCCTTATATTCATTGAGAAAAGTGTTCTTGTTGAGTAACAATATTTTCATCTCTTGACTTTGACCTTGGAGGTTGACTAGTATTTGAGACCTTCAACCTTTGCTAAACGGTGTCATACAGGGCATCGGTGTTCCACAAACATTTTGTGTCATTTTTTTTGTGAATTTATCTATTCATTTATTTGAATTTTTCATGTGTGTCAACAAATTAAATTTATGAGTTGGATTTTTCAGTAGTATGGTCGGACGACTGTCCTCCTCACTGGATTAAGCATGGATTTTCTTGTTATCTGTTCATTAAAGATGTTCCCGAGGACTTCATTGAAGCTGGGGTATATACTTGAATCAATGAATGCAATTTCTTAAAAAGAAAAAAAGTCGTAGATACATTTTACTTTTTTATTAGCTTTAGGTATTAAAAAAAATATAACTATATATACTTTATATTACTCTGTTAAACATTTTGGTGTAACGCGACACAAAACAAAAAGATTATTTAAAAAAAAAGAAGAGTAGAATAAGACTCAATGCACTTATTTCGACATTAGGAAGTTAGTTTTTAATAAATGTTTCATACTCAGTTCCACTTCTCTAAAATTTAATTGCGGTTATCATGACTGTTTCTCTGCGAAAAATCTTAATTTTCAGTGTCAAATTATATTGCTTAACTGCAAACAAATCTGAAATGTGTATATTTTAACATATACATTATTTTTGGTCTTATATGCTTGTATAATACAAGATCTTTTCAGTCATTTTGCGAAAGGCGTGGATCCAAGTTGGTGGAAATCGAGACAGTTGACGAAAACAACTTTCTCCGCTCACATATCGTTGGAACAAATCCACAAGGCGAGTTTTTGATTAAGCTAGCATAAAGGGAACAAAAAGCTGAAGGGATACAAATCATTCTACCCACACTTGAAAAGCGGAAGGATATATCGTAATCGGAATGTCCGTCCCTCCGCCCGTCTGTCCGACTGTCACGCTTTGGGGTGCCCATCTCTTATTTGCAACTCCTCTTATAACATTAAGTGAATTTGATGAGATTTTCAAAGAATCTTTATTACACATTGCCATTGCGCATCTGCTATTTTACTTTTAGATCCCACACATATTTTGGGTTTCACATAGCAGAACATGGATACTGTCATTATATTCATATGGAAGGTGCACAGTGGCGGATCCAGAAATTTTGAAAAGGGGGTGCGACCAGTTTGAGGTCAGGGTAGGGACCCAAAGCTACACCAAAAAACATTGATCTATCAAATATTGTGTAATTTTTTGGACTCAAAAGGGGGGCCCGGGCCCCCTGCCCCCCTCTAAATCCGCCAGTGGTGCAGGTATAATTAAAGTGAACTCATCGCTCACAGTACCTCTAATATAATTCTATTTATGATGTGAATTCAAAGGCATCCATCTCAAGAAATATAAATTGCCTTTTCTTTTCATGATATTTGTTTATTATGTCTTTTAACCTTGAAATTCTTTGAATTAAGTTTAGTGAAGAATTCAATGTTAAGTGTATAAGGGTTTGATATACCCATATCTCCCTTTTTAGGGAGGAAATTTTGCAAAATGGTATGTTAGTTTTTTTAACAACCTACATGAATTTGAATTATCAAATCTACATCTATATAGGATTCCATTAAAATTCTTATAAACAAAGATACATAGCGGGTTCAAGTAAATGTTCTATCAAGCCTCTTTCTTTAATCCTCATTAAAATGTTAATAGTAATGACGGAGAAACTTCAGAAGTACAACAATATTTTTGAAAAGTGGTGTAAATCAGATGTAGATACATAGAGATTCAAAGGAACTTTTGGAAAATTTGAAATCACAGTATTTTGCCATAAAGAACAAGAAAAAGTAATAAAGTTAAGGCTTTTTGATACCTTGATCATTTGTAATTTTGTTTGTTTGTTTGTTTGTTTTTTTTTTGGTTAAAAATCCTTCTTATTTAACATACAAGTACTCAAAAGTTATATTAAAAAGATGATAGATATTCTGATTGAAATATCCATGTGGTATTTGAAGACCAGGTTCTCCAACAATCTATTGGAATTCCCAATCGAAACCAATTGTCCTTTTTAGCAGACCTGTTTTTAGTATTCATATGGAGAATTTGTCCAAAATCTTATACGTGAACAGAAGAAAGAAACTTGACGTGGCCTATAGCCGAACATTTAGATATATCAACGAGTTTTTTTTTTTTTCAATTAACAATGTTCACTCTTATTTCAATCGTCAATTAAACAGTCCTTACTTATCAGACCTAAAATTATCAACAGTATACCTTCACCACCGGCATACGCGGTTTATATTTCTCAGTTGATTCGAGGAGCAAGAGTATGATCTACATATAAACATTCAATAAAACTAGGTAAATTCCTGACAAACATGTTGATGAAACAAGAATAGCAGCGGTAGTGTTAAAAGTAACCATTTCCGTAAGTGGTAGATACAATGGCCTTGCCAGCAAATACAATTTATCTTTTCGTCAAACGCTGACTGACGTTTTTTCATAGTTATTGTCAGTCCATTATTTACACACTGAATTGTGAATTGACGTTTTCATCATTTCACAAACATGACAACGAGCAAGTATGACCGGTCAAACAGGGATGCTCACTCTTCCATAGCACCTAATCCCACATATATGATGTTTTTGACCTCCCTGTTCGCTCTGTTCCAATTTTGTTTTATTATTCTTGAATTTGTTTGTTCTCTAAGACGGAAAGGCATTCAGAATTTTGGGGAAGAGTGGAGAGGGATATAATGAGATATTTAAATAGAAAAGGAGGATGGAAAAGTGCATTCCTTGTCCACTACCAACATGAATCATATACGACTTACATGTATCAGATCTATTGCAGAGGGGTACTGGATAGGACTGTCAGACATTGTCTTTGAGGGAGAGTGGGTATGGACATCCACCCAGAATACAGCATCATTTAAGGACTGGTCACCGAACCAACCGGACAACTACCAGAGTCATCAGGACTGTGCCATGTTCTTTACGCCGGATAATTTCCACTGGAACGACCATTTCTGTACAGTTAAGGCTGGATTCATCTGCGAAATGGAGTAAGATGAATATTAGTACATAGACTTTAATTTATGCTTATTGATTTTTTTTACCTCGCTTATTGATTTTTTTTACCTCAAACTCTATTCTGAAATAATTTTTTTCTATCTTGTATACCTGGTATGTATGAACCCCCCCCCCCAAAAAAAAACCACAATAATTCTTTGCGTGCTCATTCATTATATCATTTATCAATCCCAACCTTAGACCTAATATTTTGACAGAAAAAAAAAATGTTCAACCCAAAAAAAACCCCAAAAAACCCAAGGAAGTCTTGGTATTATCCAAAGTATTAACGAGGATATTTAGTGAACATCTGGATATCACTTTGTATGCTCGAACCAAATAAAAAGGATCTTTCTAATTAAAATACACGACTATTTAAGTTATTCTTTCGAATAAATCTTTCGTCACAATTTTTCATAAAAAATCATTTACAAAAGAAAAAAGGACAAAATTGACTTGTATTTATTTTTTTAACCCCTTCTCTACCGCATCGGTCAATATGACCGATAGCGCGTTAAAACACGGCATCGCGATAACAGGACCTCTGTATAATTTCAATAATAGCATTAAGGTATATAAATTATATATCATCTTTTAGGAAATTATCTCTACTTTCAGACCCTGTAAAAATTTTTAGCCTTATTAATCGGTAATGAATAGATTTTACGTTTTGAAGACATTGGTGACTTTTTGAAAATGACGCAATTTTCAAAAGCAAGGAAGAATATCCTGACGATAGGTATATTTTTTCCTGATTAAATCATTTAAATAAAATTAATATATTTAAAAAGGATATTTTCTCTGCTTTTAAAATATGTAAAAATTATTGCTTTTGCTTTTAAATATTTTGTTAAAACAAGAATTTTCTTCCACGCATGTGATTTTTTTGGGTTTTATTCGTAAAATTTGAATTAAACGCAGTTTTACCTTTATTTCTGTGTTGAAATAGGGAAAACAAAATACAGCTGGTAAAAGAAGAGAAAATTTCCATTTCAACAGGCCTTCACTTGTCTCTTTATTTTCGGTATTCTCTGAATTACCATAGTTTGAATTTTGAACCTCCGCGTAATTTTTGTAGAAAATTTGAATGTAGTCAATATTTAACGTCAAGGTCGTTTTCGTTGCGCCTCATTCGGAACAACATGTTTAGTACATGTACCATTATATTAAATAAGATTTAAATAGATGCATTATTTAAAAAAATGATTTAAAATAACAGTATTTATCTTTACAGCTTTAGAGAAATATAGTACATATGTTTTTTTGTTTATTTATGCAATGTGCAATAAGTTTATTCAGTGTTGATAAAAAAAAAATGTTTGATTCCTTAAGGTCTACGTCAAAAAAAAAAATAAAATTTATTGCTGTTTGCTTTATTAAAATATATTCTTAATATAAAATACAATTAAACATATAATGACATGAAATTAAAAAAAAAAACCTTGAAACACAATGATTTAATACAAAATCTCGCATTTACACGACTCATTACGGTATGAGTTGATTTTATTCGAGATTAACACGTGTTTCCGCTGTGGCAGTAAACAACAACAGGCTGTTGAACAGCATGGATTTTCATGATTATTTTACGATGGAGAACACGTCAATTCATCAGATATGACAGGTCTTTTCTTTGGCATAAGATATGAGTAAGTATTGATTGAAAAGTTTAAAAGTATTGTATACAGTGAAACTTTTTCCAAACCGGCCCCCCTGGAAACCGGTTCTCCCTGAACATCGGCCAAATTTATTAGTCCCGGCAAAATTCTTAACATTTCGTTACACATAAACTCTCATAAAACCGGCCACCCCTGAAAACCGGACATCGGCCACTTTTCCAAGAACAAAAGTTAAGAAACATAGGAAATTTCCCCTCATCATACCGGCCACTTTTTGTGATTGCAAGATATTAATTGTCATTGGCCGGAGGGGTAAAAAGGACCGGCCGGAGGTGTGAAAAATAGCGTACCCTCCAGAAGTCAGAGGTGTGATTAACTGAATATGGCTTCATAGGGTTTTCTATTGTTTAACCGTCTTGAAGGGGTAATTATCTTGCCAGTCTACGTAAATGGCCGGTCTAAGTTGTGTACATAATTATGATTAACAAAATTTAAACTTGAATTAATAAAATCTCAAGCAACTTATAAATTTAAATCACAAAATGAAACAATAAATTATCGCACGCCATATTGCATCATCTTTTTTAATACACATAAGCGACCTTCAAATTTGTTACAGATACATAATGCTAAGAAGAAGAAATACTAGTAAAATGTTTACCAAAACACACATTTTTTAATTAAAATAACAGAAGTATTGCTCAGAAATGCTTTAATTATTTACTTAATGACGTAAGCGATACATAGATGCATGCAGTATACTGTAGGCCTATAGAGTTCAGTTAAGGTAAAGGGTCCTGGTTTATTTCTTCGCATATGGTTAATAAAGTAACTTTCCATGTTTTTTCTCTTTTATTTATTAACTTCTTTCTATAAAAATCAACATGTATGACGAATTCATCCTCAATAATATTAATTTATTTTTTAGACCTAAAGAATACATTACGTGTCTGCCGATAATTAATAAAATGTTGACAGATAATTATAACAGACACCAATTATATATTTTTCCTAGCATCTGTATCACATATTAGTTCTGCAATTCTTCAGTATGTCAGATTCTCGGGAAACCGGTCACCCCTCTAGTCCGGCCATTTTATTCAGTCCGGCAGCTGGCCGGTTTAGAGAAGTTTTACTGTAGTACATTGACTGAAATGAAAAGACATTATAGACTACCAAGGACCTATATATATAATTATATACTATAGTAGTAGACTGGACCCTGGCTACACATGTTCATGTGACATGAAGCCGTTCGCTGGTTTGACATCGTCGGTAACCCACGAATGATACTTTTCGGTTCTTTCAAAAAACTCTCACAAAAACTATTTTTTCCGATGACAAAATTGTTAGCAATACGATGTCACTGTTTTCTCAATATGGAATCCGAATACTGTGTTGACTGATCAACAAAATATTTTTGTTCGATGTACTCCGTCCCCTCCGATCCACATTTTTAAGATGGGAGGTAGGTGGTTAATTTTCGTGTGGTTTAAACTGCTGAAAAATTGATAACTGTCGTGAAATCACAGATTTCTTAGCAGTACACATTTGACATGTTTGTTCGCTACACAAGTTTATTGTTATAAAAATTTTCAGTCAAAAAGCATCCTATAGAAAATTATACATCTTTACTTTAAAATGAAACAATTTTAGTAAATTTAAAAAGAAAAATAAAAGTTTACAGTGCTGAAAACATTATTGGCGTGGATAAGTATTATTGCTTCTGAGTTCTCATTGTGTGAAACAGTTACCAATCGGTTATCTTTTTGGCCATAACTGACCTCCTTTATAATTTCATTCAAGAAATAATTGTGTGGTCACTCATTAATAGCCCCCAAACTTTAAAAAAATTGAGTACAAAGTCTCTCAAGGAGACACAATTTGGTGATTGATTTTTACATGCATTGTATTCAGAAGAGTTCAAAGTTTAATATTTCCACTGCAACAAGGTGCGTCTTTTTGCACATGCTGAAATAATAAATCATTTGAGAAAAAATTGTGATAAAATAGTTTAATTAAGCTATTCCGAATAGCTTAATAAAGCTATATAGCTAAATCAAGCTATAAAGCTTAATCAAGACTTTGTGCCGGACCTGTCAGAGTACATCAAACAAATCAATTTTTGTATTGTGGGTCTGAACATCCAAACCGTGTTTTGAGATTATGGATTTGAATAAGTTTGACTTATTTTTGTGTTGTTTTTGAAGTGGCATGGTAAGTTTTCTTGACCACCTCTAAGTACATTCAAAGAAAAATGAAACATGACATAATTAACACAAACACATATTTTTTTTAGCACGTGTAGTGCGCTGGTACCATTTAGGCTTCAGAACTTTCATCTATGAAGACCCACCTGCTAATGGCCACCATGCACAGAAAAGACCATGATGTGGAGGACATATGTGCTTAGTTATAAGTAAGTCAATTTTATTGCAGTCAAAATTCCTCATTGCCACTGGACGGCTATTAGTCAACACTCCCAGGTACATGAGTAGGCGGACTGGTGCAGTGGTTAGAGCCTTTGCCCTATAGTCACAAAGTAAGGAGTTGATCCTTACATCACACGATGAGACACTATAAAAATATCTTATCTTATATTATACTTATATAACCCAATTAAGGTCCCTTGTCGCAGAAGGTGCTAGCATGAAAAAGATCCTTCACAGCTCAATAGCTGTAAGTGCCGAGTATAGAACAAAATTTGCATCTGTCCACCGACAAGTGGTGGCGTCTCCATCTGAGAGAGAAATTCTTGAGAGAGACATTTAATAACATACAAACAAGCCCATATATAAAAACACCTTGTCCCAGGGATTTTTCTTTGAAGTAACAGTTTTCAGTCCAACTTTTCTTAACAACCCTGACAACAGAAACTAAAAAAGGATACTTCATGAATTTGATAAAATAATGGTTAATTATGCTATTTTTTAAAAGAAGAAGGTACAGTTTCAATACAAATAAAGCCCTATATTTTTCTAAAATATGAAAGTGATATAAAAAATTAAAATTAATTCTTTTTGAATCATAGGAATTCTCTGCAGTAATAATACATAAATGGTTTTTCTCATATGACCTCCTAAATGCCAATTGTGACGTCATTAACTTGTGCATTTTCCCGTATTTTCTTAAAAAATTGCAGAAGACCACAATTTTCAGTGGAATTATCTTTCAGAAAACATACTCTGCCACCGTCGCCCGGAAAGATTTTGAGATATGTGATTATTCATAGCCTTTTACATAATATATCCAAAAATTAAAGCGGGCGACGTGGCAGAGTATATTTTCTAAAGGAAAATTAGCAGAAAAACGGGTCATTTTGAAGCTTTTCTGCATTAAACTTAAAAATGTACCAAATTAATGACGTCATATTTTCAAGAAAGGCTCTTTTTCGTACCATATTCTTAAATGATTTATCATATTCATCTACTCAACTATTGTTAAAGCCAATTTCATAACTTTTTAAAAACATTAAATTTTTAGGGCACAATAAAGCCTAAACCGTACCGTCTTCTTTATAATTGATTAACCTTGATTTTTTACTATTAAGCTTGCAATATTTCTGTCATAATACATTGACTTCCCCAAACCATTTAACTACAAGTATGACAAAATATGACATACATAATATAATATATATGATATGCTTTATAAAGACTTTTTAACAATGTTATATCAATTTGCCAATTGAAGATTTCTGTATAAACTGAATTATCTGATAAAACTACATATTCGATTAGAAAAGCTTTTTCAAAACTTTTTTTTTGAAATTTGTTACAGAAGTCGGGACAGAATACATTTAGAAACTGATCATGCCTTGGTCAAATCAAAGGAGTTCCCTCAGTCTTTCAGAGAGATGGCAGAGAGTTCATTCAACATGAAGATGATGTGCACATAATGTAATCTGGAATCTAAAGTTAAAAATAAAAACCTGAAAACTTACTAGCAAATAAGCCTATCTGCTCGTTAATTATTCTTTGCCGGACACTTCACTTTTAGGAATGCTCTTTATTTCTATCAATGATTTAAGTGGTTATTCAAGATCATGTCATGTGATATAAGGAATTCTGACTTTTGACAGCATAAGACAAGGGTTTGTGAGAAGAGTAGCAAATACTAAAGAAATCCTTGGATACTGAAATTCAATCATTGTATGCCACATAAACTGGATGAGTGAAAGATTGTTTCTGAAGTTCTGTTCTTGTCCATCTTTGCTGTCTTTTCATATGCTTATAAAATGACAAAAGTTGTTTTAACAAGTGACCCAGTAAAGACTTGAAAATGTAAAATAATTCTTTTAAGAGAAGCAAAATTGTAAATCTTTTCTTATACAATGTATTCTAGATGACAAAAAATGTGTTTGACTAAGTTTTTGAAAATGACAAAATAAATTCTCTTTCGTGTAATTAAAAAAATGATAATGGTTGCAACACGTTTACCTTAATATGATTTTAATAGTATTTGTCACTAAGATTGAAATACTTGAGAACATATTTTACAAATTTTGTTCCAGTTTACTTAAGTCAGAGATATATTTTTTGAATGACAACCAAGATTTGAATAAAAAAGAAAAAACAAAGTAATTAAAACAAAACAATTCACTTTTGTGATATCTCTGTTGATTTTGTTGTTTACAATTTTATGTGTCAGTTATTGGACAATATGTCCATAATAATTGCAGCATTTCAAATTTGATATATACATACAATTTAAGGCAGATTTCTGTACTGATATGACCTTGACCCCCAAAGAACAAAAATTTCAGGGTCAATACTTAAGACAATTATTTGTTGGATGTTTTATACATTATTTTTGACCTTATATCTTACAAACGATATCACGGAAAACTGTCTAGAATAAGAAGTTAGAAACCTATAAAGCCAAAAAATTGAATATTGTTGTTGCTTAGCAACCATTTAAAGGTCATTTAACACCAATTTGAACAAAAATAATATGTGGATATTGCAATACAGTATGATGCCTTTTAAAGAGTAAATTCAGAATCTTCTTCTTAAGCATCCATTGTTACAAATTTTACCAAGTAAGATGAAAAGTGTTGGGAAAAATTCTAAAATTATGCACTTATTTGACCTTTGACCCCCCAAAAATTGAATCTGATGAGGTCAAACTTTCAAACAATTATCTTATGTATATAATTTCAGTATCATTACCCTACATTTGACTTTACAATGTAATGGAATGCATAAATGTGTGTGGGATGAGCAAAAAACAAGAAATACTGCCTGAAAATTGAAAAGTACTCCGTTGCTTAGCAACCTCTTTAAAGTCATTATTTGCAGAATTGAAAAAAAAAATTATGTGATTAATGTAGTACAGGATAATGCCCTTCTGTGGGTTTATTCTGAATTTCCTATTTCAATGTGTTTCACTGTTAATTTTTAACTTGAAAATTAAAATGTGTCAAAAAATGCAATAAAATTCTGCACTTATTTGACCCTTGACCTCAATTTCCACTAGCAAGGTCAGTCGTGAGGTACCTATATAGTTATGAAATATCATTTCCAGAAAATTCCCTACAAAATGGTATGCATTATACCTAGGTTAATCTTTGAATAAAAAAGTTATAAATTGATTTATAAGGATATGTAAAAAGGTTTGCAAAAACGCTGAAAATGTGCCGGTAGAGAAAGGGTTAAACAAATTTTAACAGAATTGTAATTTTGTATATCTCTTTGTTTTAGGGCAGGTGAACCAATTGATATTGTAGGATAAGGCGAGGAAAATTACTCAAAATTAAACAAGGAAAAGTTGCATGTTTGTTAAAATCATCAGTGTCTGTGCTTTAAGAATTTTGATAATAAAATTGCATGTTCGGATTTTTTTCTTAACTTTTTTCGCTGATTAATGAATGGTTGCACTTACCCTTGTTGTTCCGAGTGCTGTTTCCAGATGTAGGTATTTTCCTTTTTATTTTGTTTAAGTAAATTTAACTGCATGAGCAGATAGTTCTAAGTAAACACATCTTCCATCAATCTGAATGTGAGTGAGGTGACAGAGTGAAATTCTGGTGTAACGTTACACATTGTACACTTTACTCAGAGTAATGAGTAACCTGACACTCTTGGTACCAATTAAGCACCATTATTAACAGACCTAATTTGGTATTCATATAAAGCAGAAGTTTTCAAAAACTTATTCATAAAAGATAAAATTAAAATACTTGCTGTGACCTTAAACTTGATATTTAGATATCCTCCATGGCACCTGATCGGGCTGATCCCACCTCTGCTGTTTCGGGGGTCCGTGAATACTGTTCGTTATCTCCATATCATTCATATATCAAAAACATATTATAAAATTAATTAACAATGATTATATCCATTCATATGTCCACTAGCTTTATATATATTCCAGTGAACTTGAAATAAAGAGTCTTACACATCTGTTTTATACTCGATAGATTACCAGAAAGTTGCCTATGTAGCAATATACTCTTATCACCTGCATACAGAGTTCACACTTCGTTAAAGGTAGGGTTCTTCTCTGGTTTCTGACTAGATGAAACATTCCATGTATATTTGCTTATATGTCTTATGTATTAAGGTGTAAGGGATTTAAAAGACCATATTTTTCTTTCCTCATCAGAATTGTACAACTTTAAATAGAATTATTATACCTCTACCGATTTTTCACTATATAAAAGTAAATCGATATATTTTGCTGATTTCCTGAAAATCACCGTGAATAAACCGATTCCCTGCAAAACCGACTGATTCCCTGCAAAAAAAGTACGTTTTTTTAATGAGCTGATACACACCTATTCGGAACACTTTGCATTTTCTTTAAACTTACGACAAACTTAGATATGTTCCGAATAAACTCATGAATATTCATTATGAATCGAAATGCATTGCGAGTCAACTGGTCCCAGATCTATCAAAAAGAACCAGTTTACTGGTAGCAAACGACAACAACACTGAACATGGCGAGCAGATTTGCGGAACTAGGAGACGACGATTTAGACAAATTACTGGATATGAGGGACAGTAAGAACACTAAACGAATTATAAAAGCATCATTAGAAGTACTGAAAGCATACATGTTAGAGAAAAATATGAATTTTGATGAATGCATCTCGTTTTCTACGGAAGAAATGGACTGTCTCCTAAGGAAATTTTACGCGGAAACCAAGAGAGCTAACAGCGAAGTTTATGCAAAGAAATCTATGATTTCGCTTCGTTATGGACTACAGAAACATTTTTTGAAAACAAGAAAAGAAGATAAAATCAATGACGAAGCTTACAAAACCTCCAACGAAATGTTTAAGGCTGTTCTCGTTAAACTGAAGAAAGATGGTGTCGGTGAATCAAAACAGAAGGAGCCAATTACGCCAGAAGATTTATCCAAGCTATATGACACAGAATTTTCAACAGAAACTCCTACAGCACTACAGAAAAAGACAATATTTGAATACATTTATTATTTCTGTAATAGGGGGCGTGAGAACATTAGGGAACTTCAGAAAGAGGACTTAACCATTTCAACAGATTCCACAGGAAGAGAATATGTCACTGTCAGAGAAAGACAGACAAAGAACCATAGGGGGGATGATTTAATGGACACCTCTGTAAAACAGGGAAGGATGTATGATCGTCCTGGTATGTACAAATTTATTTACAAAATTTTGCTTAATTAAACATGTTATAAATGTGTATCAGTTTAATGTTAAATTTTCGTGCTATTTACTAACAGTATCCATGTAAATAAAACAAATTTTAAAATCTGAAACCTTATTCAATCATCATTCATGATCAATGCAAGTAACCAATTGTAATTTGTGTATACTTGTTTTTTTCAGGAGATCCCAATTGTCCTGTAGCATCGTTTAAGAAATACCTTGGCAAGCTTCATCCTAATAATCCGAACTTCTGGCAGAGGGCAAAGAGAAAATTTGATGAATCTGATGAAACATGGTACGACAATTCCCCAGTTGGGAAAAACGCTCTGTATGCATTTATGGCAAATCTGAGTGCAGAGGCTAAACTCAGTAAACGCTACACTAACCACTGCATTAGAGCAACGAGTATATCAACATTAGACCATCAGGGAATTGAAGCAAGACACATCATGAGTGTGAGTGGCCATAAAAATGAAACATCAATCAAGTCTTATAGTTCCAAATTGAGTGATCAGAAAAAACGCGAAATGTCGGACATTCTTGGTAAAAACATACATTCCTCTAAAACTGTGTCTACAGTGCCATCAACATGTGATCTGCCTACCACCAACGACGCACGTTATCCACAGCTCGACTTCCTTGAATGCGACAAAGTCAAGGAATTGCTTGAAAATGATTTTTCTCTGAATCACGTGCCATGTGATAGTCTTCCTTTGAACACAAGCCTGACAAATACACTCTCGAGTAACACCAACCAGTTCAAATTTTCAAACTGTAATGTAACTTTCAATTTTACAAAGTAAAAAACTCAGACATTTAGACAACGAACTGATTTATTGATTCCTTTTATGAGTCACTTGTTGTATTTTGTTTTATTGTTATTTTTTATTCTGTTGGAATTAAACATTGTTACAGTATTGAATATAACTTTTCAAATGTTTTGTTTGTATCGGTATAATAAAACAGTTAAAGTATATCATTGAGGGAGTCAGCAAGATTCCAGTTCCCCTCGAGCAAGTCTATTTCCCTCGGCGCAAGCGCCTCGGGAAATAGACTTGCTCTTGGGGAACTGGAATCTTGCTGACTCCCTCAATGATATACTTTAACTGTATAATGATAAACTAGCTGTGTTTAAAACTAGCAGGGACTATATTTATGGCGGAATGGTGGCGTATGAAAATATCTTCTTTACTGCCTCTAAAAATTGTAATAGAACGATGAATTTAGTTTTAATTTTTAAACAATTAAAGACTTGAAGAAATTTTCAAATGTAAGTTAAATTAGTTATAAGGGACTAATCTTTCTAAATATGTTCTAAATATTCTAAATATGTTTTTTTCAGGCAAAGTAGAACTATGTAAGCTTTTAAACGCTTCCAACCAAAGAACACATTTGAACCAAATATTCATAAAAAGTACATTTTCTCTCTTTTTAAACGATCAAAACTTTTCGTTTTTGTATCAATTTGTACATTTATAAGACAACTTTATTATATGTGAAAATAAGAAAAAGTTAAATATAGGAAGCATATGAAAATAAGTAATATACCCTGGAAAATTAAGAAAACAGAGAAAATTTGGATTAGCGAATGTCCAGTTTAGTTAAATTATTTATGTAAATTTAGTAATATCATGCTATAAACCTGATGTAATAATATCTTTTATGCAAAAGAAACAATCTTTAAATTTTTGAAATAGAATTTGGCATCACATGATTGGCAACAGTCCTTTTTTTATTCATAAAGTCAAGGAAAAAGATAATGACCTTCACCTAACCTTGCAACTTATATAAAACGGTCAAATTTAATCTCACTGATACTATCACTTACTGATATTGTCATCTTGATTCCGTGAAAGTTCATTAATTTTTAAATACAAGATATATGAGAAGAATCCTACCTTAAGGACAGATGATACAAACAAATTTTATCTTTGGAAGAGACTTAATATCATGTTACAAGTTTAAAAAAGTGGATAAATATTAAATTTTTTTATCCTAAGAACTGGAAAATGAAATAGATTTGGAAAATATTTCAATAAAATTATAAATATTGGATAAAACACACTCAGTAAAGTTTCACATTTGAAAATAAATTTCAGAATATTTTATCTTGGTGCTGAAAGTGTTATATAAACTTAAGAAAAATATACTAAGCCAGGTGAATTAATTTTATGAGGAAAAGCAAAATGGTAAAAATCAGCCCATATGATTTAAGGTGATTTATACTATTTTTTGCTTTTCCTAATAATATTTAGCTGGCTTGGTGTATTTTTCTAAAGTTTATACATTTTTAGCATCAAGCACTAAGATTTGTCAATATTTGTTTTTTTTATTGAAATATTAGTAATGTTTTACAAGTATATTTCATTTTCCAGTTATTGGGAGGAAAGGTTTTAAGATATCCACTTTTCTAAACTTGTGACATGATACGTAGTCTCCTCCAAACACAAAAATTCAGAAAAGTGGATGATTTTTTAAGTAAAATGAATGAGGAAAAACTTATTTTAACCAATTTGATTTTCCTATAATAAAATATTTTACACACTTAGCACCAAGATAACATATTCTGAAAGTTTCCATCTGTAAACCTTTACTGCGTGTGTATTGTCCACATTTGTAATTTATTGAAATATAAAGTCTATTCCATTTTCCACTTCTTAGGAGAAAACATTCTAAGAATAATCCATTTATCTGAACTTGTGACATGATATAAAGCCTCTTCCAAAGACAAATGTTTGTATATCATCTGTCCTTAAGTATAAAAAAATAATTTTATTTTATAAAATGTTTTGCAATAACGACTTGTATTGTCAATTTTCTTTATAATCTTAGAAAAAATGATACCATTGAACATGTACATTGCTGTGTTCTGAAATTTTTGCATTTCTCTGATAAGTATCCTTGCATAATCTGGGACCGACCGAAATAATGCATTGTAAAATTTTCATCGTACTGATCTCAGCTTGCTTCAGAAACAGTATGTTCCCCTTCATGTATATATGCATGTTAATTACAGATCAATCTTTATATTTTGTATTTTTCAGTCATTTTTAATTTCGGGCTAATACAGGATGTGATATGGAAAAGAGTTAACATTATTCTCTCTCTCTCTCTCTCTCTCTTTCTCTCCCTTTTAGTTAATTTGATACAAAAGCATGATCTTTCTTTAACAAATTTCTTAAATGAGATAACATTATTGACAAAGAAGTTGATTAA